TATATATATATATATACTCATTAAGAAATGGGTCAAATTTCAACTATATACAACCATTTTTCTCAGATCAATGATTCAAAATGGTTTCAAGCAAATGAACCCTGCAGAAAAAAATGAATTCATTAAATCTTATAGACTAGCTTTACAGAATAACCATTTTTTTTAAGCATTTCACCCCAAGTAAGGCGGGAAGCCACTAGCACGCAAGGGGTTACCGAGAGTTGGAGCAAGAGCAAATAGGAGTGATAGAGGAAAGGATGAAGAGAAGGATAAGGGATCGATCAAGGCATCTGGAAACGTCGATTGACATTACATTTGAATAGTTGGAGATTATAGCTATCAGCGAAACAAGAAAAGGAGGGGGAGGTCCACAGGTGAGAGGTGCGAGACATGAAGCTATTGCAGTAGAAGAGACGGCTACATTTAACAGTTTCGACAGTGAAAGGGTGAGAGCGAGATGCCAGCCTAGTAGAACGCTTAAATTCATGAAGTCTGGAAACCAGCGAAAGCAGCTCATCGGAGCAATTACCGTGAAAGTATTTGTAAAAAAAAGACAAGGAGAGGCGACTGGACGTTTGTGATAGAGCGACTGCAGACGAGATGCCAGATCAGGGTTAGTTACATTGCATATCCGACTCTGGATTTTATCAAGGACCTTGAGACAAACAGAAAAGGAAAAAAACGATGACAAATAACAAAAACCACATGACTTGAAGACTTCCAAATGCGGCAACGATTAAAATGGATAGCAGACGTAACTCGAAGAAAAAAATGATATTAATCAAGATGTTAATTTTCCAAACAATTTTTATCGAAATGTTAGTACAGAAACTTCCATCAATATTCCTAGTAGGATCCCTAATGTAATCGATCCTGATCACATTCTCACCGACGTGACATGGCTTCCCTCTGTCTTTTCTACAAATATTTTCATAGCAACTTGCTCTGAGGAGCTTTTTTTCCCTGGTGCCCCGACTACATAGATTTAACCGTGCTACTAAACTGGCATCTACGTCCCACCCTTTCGCCTTTGAAACAGCTAAATGCAAACGCCCTTTCTACTTCAACAGTTTCTTTTCTCGCACTTCCCGCTTGTGAAACTCAATTCTGTTTACTTGCTTCTCTGGCAACTAAAACCTTCAAAAATTTAAATGCAACGTCAATCGCCATCTTCTATCTTCTTGGAGACCGTTCATTTTTTTATCCTTTCCCCAATCCTCCCTATATTCAGTCTTTTCTCTCAATTTAACACTCTGTAGCGTCCTGCGTACTAGAGGCATTTCTGCCTTGCTTGGGGTGAAATGATTAAAAAAAATACTAGAACGACAGATAACAGTGGACTCGAAAAATCCGAATACTGCTCTAAGAGAAAGATTATGTATTTATTTCAACCGACAGTACCTGTTCAGTCAATGAATGCCTAAATATTTCCTTATCAGAAAACGGCTTATCTCACCTAATGGTAATCCATTAGGGAAATGCTTTTTTAGTAGTTTGAAGAACGTTACGCCTATTTTTGTTTTCGTCGCTAAATTGAACAAGATTACCTTTCGCTTTCTGATGCTTTCTCATTATCTTCTCGTATTTTTTTCCGTATAATTTAACTTACACTAGCAATATAACCCGTCTTTGCCCGGTCGTCCTGGGTAAGACGTTAAACTAGATCCGCGTCCTGGGTAAGACGTTAAACTATGTCCAGCAACAAGGCCACTGATCAGGAGCGTAGAACCACCTCTTAATTGCTGGTGTTCCCAGGTCCACCCTGACCCGGGGAGGTAGCACCTGTTAGGGTCCCAGCTATGGCCAAATAGTTAACTACCAGCAATACAATTTTGAAGGAAATATATTACCAGAAACAGATTTGAGAAAACAAAATATTACCAGCAATAAAAATTTTTGTCAGCATTAAATAACCCATTGAGATTGATATACCGTAAAACAAAATAAACCAAACCGTCTTTGCCCGGGTCTTTCATTACTGAGAATTTTTGCCGTTCAATTGGAACAGTTTAACCCACCCGAAAATCAATATTAGTAACATTTGAGTGCAACTGAGGCACATCCCTAAATGGGTGGGGGTTAACAATTTGAATGGTGGGTGGCCCTGAAAAGGGAACTGTATAATAATAAATAATATTATTGCAATAATTTAAACTATTTATTTTTATAAAAGTTTTTTATGAAAATATATATATATATATATATATATATATATATATATATATATATAATTATATTATAAATTAATTGATTTAAAATATGTTTTTTTCGCTACAAAGTTCTAACCATGTTTCAAAAATGGAAGCTAAAAGCCCCAAGCGAATTTTGGAGTAACTTTTAAAATTACTGGGTTTTAAATACACAGCTAAAACAAAATTCATGTTTCCCAGGTTACAGATATGGATTATATATCTGTACTGTTCTTTATATATATATATATATATATATATATATATATATATATATATATATATATATATATATATATATATATAACAGATAATAAATAGTATAACGTTGCTGAGAGTTATAATGAACAGGAAGTAGTGTAGAGCCATTGTCGCGAACAATTTGGACTCAAAACCGGCACTGAAGAATTATCTATCAAACACAAAATGTTCCATCGAAATCGGATGGAAACTGTGGAAACACATAAACAACATCCGATCACACAGACACACACATACTTTACCTCATTGGATATCATTTCTTTCGAGAAATTGGTTAATCAGCTATATTGTTTTCGGTACTTGTTTCAATCTACTTTTTTTTGGTGGGGGGGATAGAGTTGGACAGTATATTTGAATAACACAAATATGTGTTTGGTCTTCTATATGGCCTAGCGACGTTCTCGCTGAAACCGAACCTAGCGTCTAAAATTTCAACAACCTTAGTATTCACCCCGTTTCATTATGAAAGCCAAGTTACATGGAAAAAAATTAACCTTTTTTTCTCAAATGTTAATTCTGTCTACGCATACCGTTTTCTACATAATTGACAAAGCTCCTTGTATTATTTTCTTTTGTTAACAAAGAGCTTGGATTTCGTTTCTCTAAGTCCACTGCTGATGCCTTTACTGTCATTGCGTATAGAATCAGTGAAACTCTTGATAATAGACCCATCGCGAAAACGATATATATCTTAAATGCTTTTGACAAGGTTTTGCGTAGGTGCGGGGGTTGCTACACAAACTCTCCAAATATGGTATCTCTGGAAATGTCTTCTTAATTATCAATTCCTTCCTATCAGGTAGGCTGTTCTTTATGGCTAATCCTCTGATGCTCATGAGGTCAATGCGAACGTTCCCCAAATCCTCGGTTGTACCATCGATCTGCTTGATATTAACAAACTACTTTAAGGCATTTTCAGGTTATTAGTATATGCAGACGATGTGACGGTTCATGGGTGCACGTCCAAAAATCTAGAAAGTAAGGGTTTTGCAGCTCATTTACCCTCTGATCTAGCTCACACGGCTCAACAGAGGAAGAACTGACTTTAATACCTACAAAAATAAGCGAGAAACATTTCATTGTCACAGAGAAGACTTCTTCAGTGCTGATAGATGGTTGTACTCTGAATGAAACCCCTTGCCTGGAATGTCTATTGGGACGGAAGCTGACTGCAAACCTCAGATGAAACTCGTATATAAGATCCATTGCTGAAGATGGTGAAAAATGTGCCTGATTCCTTCCAACGTGCTTTATCTTTACAAGAGCCAGAACTCCACAATAGGAAGATCGCACTATGGTACTGAAAGTCACTATTCCTATGCCTATTCCTATGATCACATTTTCATATATATATATATATATATATATATATATATATATATATACACACACACGCAGACACATACACACATATATACACACACAAGCACACGCACACAGACACATATATATATATATATATATATATATATATATATACATAAACACACAGACATATATATACATACATATACACACACGCGCATACACAGACACACACACACCTACACATATATATATATAGATACATACATACACACACACACACACACACATATATATACATAGATACATACACACACACACACACACACACACACACACACACACACACACACGCACGAACGCGCACACACACACACACACACACACACACACACATATATATATATATATATATATATATATATATATATATATAAGTACAGAATCGGTGTATATGGAATAAATTTCAATAACTAAACAAAATTATTCTTAAAAGAGTGTCAAATACAGAGTAGAGGAAATATAATTTATTCGAAAATTCTAACATAAAAATGTTATAAAATCACTACAAAAATAAACATTTTGTTTCAACATTTCCGGGGTCCTATCAAGAGATGGTGTTGAATCAACATTATCACTTGGTAAAATACTAGTAGTGTTGAAAGAAAATGGCTATTTTTGTAGTGATTTTATAAAATTATATATATATATATATGCGAATACAAGGTCGGTGTAAATGAAATAAAAATCCAGTAACCAAAAACTCTATTTTTAAATTAAAGTGTTCCATACAACAACACCATCACTTAACAAGACACCAGACCTGGTAAAACAAAATGCTTATTTTTATAGTGATTTTATAACGCACTAATGTTAAAATTTTTAAATAAATATTATATATATATATATATATATATATATATATATATGATATATGATATATGGCGACAGTCTGTTTCATGCTTGTATGCTATCTTCATGACCTGAAGATTGCGTTTAAGCATGAAACAAGCTATCTCCGCTTGGTATTGTCCACTTTTATATTTGCATACGCTCTATCTTTGATATTGAGCACTTTTTACCCATAAATATATGATACATCAAAACTATATTTTATCATTATATATATATATATATATATATATATATATATATATATATATATATATATATAAAGAAAGAAGAAAGAAAGAAAAAGAAATTTGAAAATAAAGCATTTGTTTGTTATAACAAATTATTTTTCAGCATTGGGCTTCATATTTATTGATGTATCTTCAAATATTCTCATCCCTCGTCCTTTTCTCTCTCCCCCTCTCTCTCTCTCTCTCTCTCTTTCACTCGCTTTCTCTCTAGCATTCTGTCATTTCTATCTCTCTCTTTCTTTTCCTCTCTTTCTTTTACTTCCATTTTCTAAGCACGCCGTAATTTATTCTTTTGAAAAGTACACTACCGTTTTTAACTTCTTTCCTATGATCTACTCAAAACTTTTCGTCCTTACAAGGCGCCATCCCTTCTCAGTAGTTCCTGCAGGCTCGCTCCAAGTCATGCGATCGTAACTAATTAATACTGAAATAAATTAAAAAATGAAAAGAGGGATACCAGAAAAAAAAATTTTTTTTTAATAGTCAAAGTCGAATAATGCATTAGAATTGAATCGAAAAAAAACTCAACCAAACAACACTCGCACACGCAAATATATATATCGGCATCCGCACACTTCTTCTATTGTTGATGTTAGGCTGGAATGTCATGGGGAAAAACGGGTGGGTCGAACTATACAGATAAAGTTTTCTTTGATATTTTCACTTTATGCAATAGATAGATAGATAGATAGATAGATAGAAGTCACAGTAATATGAATCCTTGCGCCGGTTGGTGTGTACTTGGACTCATTGAAAACAGAGCATGGCTATAACTGAGCCGTACTAAATATAAGAACTAGACGAGATATCTCTTGGCATGTACAGTGGAACAAGAACAGTATACCCTCGTTAATTAAATAATGGCGTTCAGTTTGGAATTTCCTGTAGCTCACCCTGAAGAAGGCCGAAGAGAACAATGGCCGGAATGTTATGATAACAAAAATAAAAAAGAGAACAGTGATCTGCATGTTAAAGATGTAAATAATAACTTCTCATCCCAGGAATTCTGACGAAAATTCTGAAAACATTTAAAAGCCACTGGAATGTGATATACAGTCATTTTGTATTTGTGCATAAATATTTGCCCATTTTTGTTATTTATGCAAAACGGTAAATATTAATAATAAATGTTTATATTTGTGCACGTGTGTTTATACATTCTTGCATTTTACCTCATTTCCCAAGGTTATTAGCACGTAAGTGAATGTAATGGATTCGACTGGAATTCGAACTCGGCTCTCCAATTCCTCAATCCAAGCCGCTATCCATTTCCCCATTTGATCATTAGCAAAACAGTATTGGTTCCTTTAAATTTGGATTAGAATGACGTAGGTTTGGTCATTTTTGCATTTTCCCTCAAGTCAGAATATTAGCACGTAAGTGAATGTAATGGATTCGACTGGAATTCGAACTCGGCTCTCCAATTCCTCAATTTAATCCGCTATCCATTACTCCACAATGAACATTAGCAGGCCTAACTTATTGGTTCCTTTTCATTTGGATTAGAATGACGTAGGTGTGGTCACTTTTGTGATTACTCCCTTAAGCCAGAATATATCGAATTGTCCACAGGACACAAATTTGACTTATTATGAACAAGTTTGCGCAATAGCTGTGTTCCTTTTTTAGAAACATGGATACCTGGTTACTAGTCAATGAGTTCATCTCGGCCATTATTACCATTGTATAGATTAAAGTCATCACATAATAATTTAGTTAAGAAAACCAGTTGTTGTTACTAATAGAAAGGGCGTATAATCTGTCCTAGATGCAGGTATTGTTTAGACTAGTATATCTTATACCCTGTGGCATGAAACAGGCATACTGCGGGGGTTATTCTCGACTAGGCTAACTTATAATCAGTTTTATTCTGAGAGAGTTTTAACCCGAGCTGATACATCAGTCTTTCTGTTTGAATGGAGTAATCGGCCCGGATTCCAGTTCTCAGATTATCTGACTATGACAACTTCGGATTTGTTTGATTGTTTATTTGTTTAACGGCATATTAACTGCTTATGGGTACCATAATCTACGAATCTCCTGCGGTTAATATACAGCCAGTGTTCTTCAGTCTATTACACGTTCATGGGTGTTGAAACAATTAAGGATACGAGAACATCTTAAAAGAAATGAATATATAAATAAAAACTGAGTTAAAATTATTAGAATCTGATAAATCTAAAAAAAAAAAAAACCATCGTTCATATAACGAAGGCGAATCATGTTTTGTCTCGCCAATATATATTTGGGTTAAAATAGAACCCGTTTCCTTTCTGATCATTCTGTCTGATGAGCGAATCATTTAAAAATAAAGTTTTTTTTTTGTTTTTTTTTTAAATTGTCTTGTTTTTATTTTTTCTTATCAAAGATTGGTGGTTCCCGGATGTTACCCGTTCGATGGATGTCTCCAGAAAGTGTTAAATATGGTCGTTTTACATCTGAGTCGGACGTCTGGGCCTACGGCGTAGTCCTTTGGGAAATATTTAGCTTTGGAAAACAACCATACTATGGACATTCGAATGAAGAGGTCAGTATGTGTTTTATTTTTTTTATGCACGCCATTCTGTTGCTGTGTTGACTCAAAACTAAAATCCAATGTTGAGATAAATCACTAAGCAGAAATTCGCGTAATACTAAGCCGCATACATCACAACGCACGGTGATACAGAACAAAGATTAAAACAGATACAACACAATGACTATTTTAACTTTGGCAGCAAATAAATATTAAAAATGGATAAAAGCTTAAAATAAGGATTCATTGGACTACTGGATTTATTTAATTTATGGCACCGAAATCCAAAAGCGCATTTTGCTGTCGAAAAAAGCATTCCAAAACCTAAACAAACAAGAAACGGAAAGAATTGTTAGAAACAAATAAAAGAACGCTGAAGTGCGGAGTGATATCAAACCTCTTCTTTTGCTGTAAATGCTGGAAAATCTCCCCACGGATGCAGAGAAAGCTCAAGGGTGTAATGTTAAAAAAGGAACACTTATACACAGAATCAGGAAGGAAGACTTAGAAACAGAAACATAAGGGAACACTTATACGCAGAATCAAAAAGGAACACTTCTACATAAAATCAGAAAGAAACACTTATACGCAATATCAGAAAAGAACCCCTTTACACAGAATAAAAAAGAAACACTAATACGCAGAAACAGAAAGGAACACTAATACGCAGAATCAAAACGAACATAATCGTAGAATCAAAAAGAAACACTTATGCGCAGAATCAGAAAGGGACACTAATACGCAGAATCAAAAAAGAAACGCTTATACGCAGAATCAGAAAGGAACATTTATACGAAAGGTAACACTAATACGTAGAATCAAAAACGAACACTAATGCGTAGAATCAAAAGGAACACTTATGCGCAGAATCAAAAAGGAGCACTAATACGCAGAATCAGAAAGGAACACTTATACGCAGAATCAGAAAGGAACACTAATACGTAGAATCAAAAACGAACACTAATGCGTAGAATCAAAAAGGAACACTTATGCGCAGAATCAAAAAGGAGCACTAATACGCAGAATCAGAAAGGAACACTTATACGCAGAATCAGAAAGGAACACTAATACGTAGAATCAAAAACGAACACTAATGCGTAGAATCAAAAAGGAACACTTATGCGCAGAATCAGAAAGGGACACTAATACGCAGAATCAGAAAGGAACGCTTATACGCAGAATCAGAAAGGAACATTTATACGCAAAATCAGAAAGTAACACTAATATGCAAAATCAGAAAGGAGCACTAATACGCAGAATCAGAAAGGAACACTAATACGCAGAATCATGGTGGGAGCTACGAGTTTGAATAATCAGAATCGTATAAGTACATAACTTTAACTATCTAGGAAATGTTTTAAAAGACGATGAAAAATATGACACAAGAATTTGTAGGTAAATTTGTATAAACAAATATGCCTTTCAAATGTTAATGTATTAATAAACAGGAAATCTTCGTTAGAAAGAAAGAAAAAAGTGCTAAACTGCTACGTAATATCAATAGTTCCGTGTGATAGTGAATGTTCGACTATTTTTCTCACATAATTAAGAGGAGGCTTAAGGCAACGTGGATGCGGTTCTACAGAAGGATGCTGAGAATTCCATGGTTGGTGTATGTAAGCCACGAGGATGTTTTAAGGAAAATGGAAACAAAAAACCATTGTGTTTAGTATAAAAAAAAGAGATAGTTGAAATTACTGAGAAACATAACGAGGGCTTGGAGGATTTGACACACACAAGATATATCGGTGTTAAAAAAAAAGGCGAAGGAAAACAGTGAACAACCTACTTCCCGAGCTTGTGTAAAGAGATTTTAGAAGAGGGACTGGTGGGGTACTAAAGTGACAAACATTACTTAAAGGTACAAAGGATATGAAGTTGTGGAGAGCAACATTCGCGCACTTTCTGAAAGGACACGTTACATAAAAGTATTGATTATCAGCTAACATAATCTTAACAATATAAGCAAATGACACAGTGTTGATAGCAGGCACATAATGGAAACTAAAAAACTCTTAGATAACGTAGTATTTGAAAGCAAGAAGAAGGGACTAACTACTCCTGTAAGAAGACAAGACATGGTCGTCAGCAAAAGAGACAATTCAAGGTGTGAGTGACGTAATGTGGACGTGAACATCGGACAATTAAAAACATTTTACTATCCGGGTAGTGTAGTAACAGCCGCCGGAAAGTGTGACACATAAACCCGGAAGGGACATATGAATAACGGTAGATGTCTTCCAGTCTCTAAGCAGACGATGTAAGAAAGGGAGATGGTGGTGCAGGCAACTAAGCTCCACAGCAAGACTGCAGCACCAAAAGGGGAAAGAATTTAATGTTCCGCTTTCTAGCTTCAGAATTGACACACGAGAGAGAGAGATTGGGTAATGAATACAGTGACATAGTAACTGTAAGCTCAATCCCCGGGCCCGATAGTACAAATATATATTCAGGTTCTGTGAAATCAGGACTAAAAGTAAATTAACCAAGATAGGAGATTCCAGATATAGGCAGCAGAATAGGAACAATATAGACGTCTATATTCAATAAAGGATTCAGTTTGAAATCCCTTGAATTTACTCGGATCGACTGATAAATAAAAGAGAAGAACTATCGAAACGTCGTGGTAGTAACTATTTAGATGGAGGACATTACTCCGGCTGTAAATAATGAAAGTAAGCACAGTAAAATAACGTTAGCAACATGAAAAAAGCTGATCTACTATTTAATATCTAATCTCCTATCTAGCATTGAATGCTGGACAATATCCACATGTCTGAATGTAAACAAAATTTCAACTGTCTCTTCCAAGACAGAAACAAAAAAAAAGAGGTCTTAACTGATATGCAGCAATGACTCGCCAATTTCGTCACACCTTTCAGAAAGTAAGCAAAAAATTTACGGATAGGAAAATGTCGTTCGAAACTAAAAAAAAAATGTGCTGAATTGCTATGTAATATCTAATCTCCAATATAGCAGTGAATGTTGGCCAATCTCCTAATGCTTTTCATAAACTAAGCAAAGTATTAAGAGATAGGAAAACGTCGTTAGAAACTAAGACTGCTGAATTGCTATGTAATATCTAATCTCCAATATAACAGTGAATGTTGGCCAATCTCCTAATGCTTTTCATAAACTAAGCAAAGTATTAAGAGGTAGGAAAACGTCGTTAGAAACTAAGATTGCTGAATTGCTATGTAATAACTTATTTCCTATATGGTAGTGAATGCCGGGCAATCCCTTCAGTGATTAAGGTGACATTTGGCTCTCCCGACGAATGCTAAGAATACCAAACACAGGACAGGGAATCAAACAAGAAGCTAAAAGTGCTACAAAGAAAATTCTATTTACAATTAGAAAATGACAGATAAAATTACTATGAGACCCAATGAGAAAATAAGTATGAAAAATTTAACACTAACCGGACATAGTGGAGATAAAAACAGCAGGGTTAAACAATAATTATCCTATTTAACGAGTTTGGATGACAGAACAGAGGATATAAAGGATAATGATAAAGATTCAAAGATTACTTGGAGCAATAAATGAAGTAATTGTTGACAGTTATGCTTAAATTAAGGATCCTGTAATGAGTATAGAATATATTCTAGTGGAATAGTAACTTGCATTGCATAAGCCAGAAGATTATTTTTGATGGACGGTGTCTTTATCAATTCGGTCACGGAAGACTAATGGTTAGCACATAAAAAAATAAAGTTTTTCTCAGTCGATTCTTTATGCAATATCAAAAGAATTATAATACCAGTATAGAATTTAACTTATTTTTTCTTTTTAAATTTAAGTTTTCTTTTCTTCATTTTTCTTTCCAACTGAAAGGTGGTAAGATTTCTAAACGAGGGTATAATTCTGCAACGACCAGACCACTGCCCGTCCACCATCTTTAACATCATGATGGGATGCTGGAAGCAGGATCCTCGCGAACGGCTTAGCCTAAAAAAGATCCATAAATATCTGGTGGAGTACAGTCAGCGACTCATGAGAACCGTACACATGCAGCAGACGATTGACTGGGACAGCGAGAGGGAGGTGCTCACGTGACAGCCGTCACATGACTTGCCCCTTTACGGCAAGATAGGTAAGTAATAAACAGAATCGTTTCTCATCAGCCTAAAAGTAGTGAGTGAGTTTGTGTGTGTGCGTGTGTGTGTGTGTGTGTGAGAGAGAGAGAGAGAGAGTGTATCTGTGATTGGTGATTGAGTGTGTGTGTGTCAGTGTGTGTGTGAGTCAGTGTGTGTGTGTGTGTGTGTGTGTGTCAGTGTGTGTGTGTGTCAGTGTATGTGAGTCAGTATGTGTGCGTGTGTGATTGAGTATATGTGTCTGTGTGAGTGTGTGTGTGTGTGTGAGTGTGAGTGTGATTGTATGTGTGTGTGAGAGTGTATCTGTGATTGGTGATTGAGTGTGTGTCAGTGTGTGTGTGTGTGCGTGTCAGTGTGTATGAGTCAGTGTGTGTGTGTGTGATTGAGTGTACGTGTGTGAATGAGTATATGTGTCTGTGTGAGTGTATGTGTGAGTGTGAGTGTGTGTGTGTGAGAGAGAGAGTGTATCTGTGATTGGGGATTGAGTGTGTTAATGTGTGTGTGTTAATGTGTGTGTGTGAGACAGTGTGATTGAGTGTACGTGTGTGAGTGAGTATATATGTCTGTGTGAGTGTGTGCGCGTGTGTGTGTATGTGTGTGTGAGTTAGTGTGTTCCTGAAAATCTGCAGTCGCTGGTAAATGTTAGAAAGTATTGAGGTGTTCGGAAAGTAATTACGTATTTCGCCTTTCCTTGCTCCGTGTTGTTAATCAAACACTTCAGTCACTTTCTCATCGACGTGATATGGCTTCCCTCTGTCTTTTTTTTTTTTTCTGTACAAATATTTTCATGGCAATTGTTTTGATTCTTGAGCTCTTTTCCCTAGCGCTTCGTCTACATAAATTTAAGATGTGTTACTAAGTTGGCAACTAGCTCTCACAGTTCTACTGTTGCCACTTCCATTCTAACTGTTTCTTTTGTTGTACTTCTTACATGTAGAAATCCTTTCCGATTTCTTGCTTCCCTGCCAACTACAATCTTCAAAAATTTAAATGCAACGTCAATCGCAATCTTCTATCTTCTTGAACAAATAAAGAAGTGATTAATTCTATATCTATAGATTTCTTTTCTCGCACTTATCACCTGTGGAATTCCCTTCTGATTTCTTGCTTCCCTGCCAACTACAATCATCAAAAATTTAAATGCAACATCAGTCGCCATCTTCTGTCTCCATGAAGCCTCTTTCTTTCCTCGCTTATCCTCACTAAATTCTTCTCATGGACATTCACACCCTGTAACCCTCTGCGTCCAGGGGGCGCGGGGGGGGTTCATTATCGATAATGATTTAAAAAAATTAATATTCTCTGACCTAACTAAATTTTACCAGAAATTATATAAAAATAAATATAATTATTTATTAATTGTTGTTTACCCTCTTCATTTTACGTTCTTCATTATCTGTATAATAAATGCGAATGTCAGTGTGTCACTGTGTCACGCTTTTTCAACTTTACTTCTACAGGCCGTAGCCCAACATATCATACCATTTTGGAATCGGGCCAACTCCGTGAACAAATTAAAAACATTCCGGGCTGAATCCGGACCCGCAATCCTAAAATTTTGAATTCTCAACTTTTCATTACTGCGGTTATTTTCCGTCCTGAGTATGACGATAAACTACATCCGCGTCCAGGGTGAGACTATAAACTACGTCCAATAGCAGGGCCTCTGATCGGGAGGTTTTCAGGAGCGTTAAGCCGCCTCTTGATTGCTGGTGTTCCCAGGTCCACCCTGGGCCGAGGTGGTAGCATCTTTGGGGTCCCAGCAATGGACAAGTGGTTGGACCCCAAACTGGGGTCGGGCAAGATAAAAGTGTAAAAATAGGTTTTAATACCAGAAATACTTTGTAAAAAAATTATTACAAGTAATAAATTTTTGAAGGAAAAAATTATTATCAGCAATACTTAAAAAAAACATTAACAGCAATACAAACAGCTATACATATTTTGAAAAAAATATTACCAATAATAGATTTTTGAAGAAAAAATATTCCCAGAAATATATTTCTGAAGAAAAAAATATTCCTAGAAATAGATATTTGGAGAAAAAAATATTCCCAGAAATAGATTTTTGAAGAAAAAAATATTCCTAGAAATAGATATTTGAAGAAAAAAATATTCCCAGAAATAGATTTTTGAAGAAAAAAATATTCCCAGAAATAGATATTTGAAGAAAAAAATATTCCCAGAAATAGATTTTTGAAGAAAAATATATTTCCAGAAATAGATTTTTGAAGAAAAAAATATTCCTAGAAATAGATTTTTGAAGAAAAAAATATTCCCAGAAATAGATTTTTGAAGAAAAAATATTCCTAGAAATAGATTTTTGAAGAAAAAAATATTCCCAGAAATAGATTTTTGAAGAAAAAATATTCTGAGAAACAGATTTTTGAAGAAAAAATATTCCTAGAAATAGATTTTTGAAGAAAAAATATTCCTAGAAATAGATTTTTGAAGAAAAAAATATTTCTAGAAATAGATTTTTGAAGAAAAAAATATTTCTAGAAATAGATTTTTGAAGAAAAAATATTCCCAGAAATAAAAATTTTGTCGGCATTACAAAACAAAACAAACCAAAACAAACTGTGAATGTTTTCGACAATTCTTTTGTATGATAAAAACTTTTATAGTTTGGAAATAAGTTTCAGAATAATTGAAATTATTTGCAAAATCCAGCGAAAGTCACCCATGAAACAAAAATAACTGTTTATACGGAAAGTAAGGACCTACGTACATCAAATTTTTTTTAAATTAAGTGGTTGCAGAACTTTCAAAAGCTAAGCTTAAATATTAATGCAATACTTAAATTCGACGATCAATTTTAAGTTCTTCTGTAGTTTATTGTTGCCTATCGCATCTACTCCTCCCTACCTTTTGTGATGAAAGCCCAATCAAGAGCTCTCCACGGGAGCTCGCTTAAATGCGGTCCGATTTATTCTAGTTACTATTATTTTCTAACTACTTTTATTATTGCTTTCTATTACAACAAATTGGCTCGATACAATCTTCATTATTACTATCATATTACCAGCTTTACTCCGTCCTTTTCTTGCTTAATATTTCAATCAATCTAGCATTGTTATTACACGCTTCCTTGTAAACGTTAACACTTTCCGAGTACGCTAATAGGATAGGGCATCTGAAAGCCAATGTGAGTGAATCTTTAATTATTGTAGCCTTAATTTAACAACTTTTGGGCCCCTCAGCGTGGTGTAATGATTAGTAAACTTGTCTCGCTAGATCAATTATGACTGAATAGTGAGTTCAGTCCTCACTGGGTGTCCTATGCTTTCGGCCTTGTGCCACATCTAAGCTACGCTTGGAAAATAATTTGGGCAACTCGGCGTGGTGTAATGGTTAGTAAGCTTGTCTCGCTAGATCAGTTACGACTGTAAAGTGTGTTCGATCCTCACTAGGTGCCCCATATTTTCGGCCTTGTTTCACATCTAAGTTACGCTTGAAAAATCATTTGGGTGCCTTGGCGTGATGTAATGGTTAACAAGGTTGTTGAGCTAGATCAGTTACGACCGAACAGTGAGTTCGATCCTCACTGGGTGCCCCATATTTTCGGCCTTGTGCCGCATCTAAGCTACGCTTAAAAATCATTTTCATGCACCTCAGCGTATTGTCATGTTTAGCAAGCTTGTCTCGCAAGTGAGTCTGATTCTTACTAAGTGCCCCATTTTACTCATAGATTGACTTCGATAAAGCGTTGTTATTACTATTTTTAATTGTTTCTTGTTTCTTGTTGATTATTGAATACAAGTGTTCGGTTTTGCGAATTACTTAGAAAAAGCATTATCATGATTTTATTATATTTTTCTTTTGTATTATTTCTGCTGCTTGTTTATACATCTACTAGATATAGACACAATATGCTTCACTTGTCCGACTTTCTTAGATAAGAACATTGTCCTATACTCCTTTCATCTTATTATCTCAATGACAAAGTTGGTTTCTGTTTTATGTGCACTGTGCAATTAGTTTAGCTCAAACGTAAACATTAATCTCCCTTTGTAATTTGAAATAATCTTCTCTATCCATAGAAGTTTGTGTAATCGAAACCGCACTTTACTGGTGGTAATGATGTAATATTAACCGTTTCCCCCCAAGGAAACATTAGGCATTCACTGACTATGCAGCCAGTAGTAATGTCGGTTGAAATTTAGAAAATCATTATTTTAAAGCAATTTTTCAATGTATTTGATTTCTCAAGTCCAGTAATTGTTATCGCTCATTCCATTATTGATAGGGTTTTCTTTATAACCTTTTATTTGAAGTAATGAAGAATGTTAATATCTTGATTATGTCACCATTTTCTCTTCGAGTAACATGTTTTTTTTTGTTTGTTTTGTTTTTTTTTTTTGTTTTTTTTGTTTGTTTTTTTTAATCGACTTCACCCCACGCAAGGTAAATAAAGCCACAAAGACACAAAGTTTACTGTGTATGGAAGAATTAGAAGGAGAATCATTAATAATGAGTGGGAAGAGGAAAGATTAATCAGGAGGACAGTAGATAGCGATTGACATTGCATTTAAAAGTTTGAAGATTAAAGTTGGCTGAAAAGCATAGAGCTGGAAGAAGGCTCCATAAGCGAGAAGTGCGAGAAAAGGAACTGTTAGCATAGGAATTACGATTACATCTGTGCTATCCATTTTAGTTGTTGCTGCTGCTGGAAGTCTTCGAGTGATGTGGTTTTTGTTATTTGTTACACTCCTTTTTATTTCTTAGCGCCAGTTCACAATGTTCAAAGAAGGATGGTCTTTGCCAAGCACTTCAGTCTTCATTCGCTCAAAGCATTTTTAACCATTCATCTGAGAGAAAAGTTGCGTACAGATGGCACTTTAGTTATTTCTGAACTGGTCTGGCGCTATGTATGACATCCACATGAAAGTCTCCTTATGACGAGGCTATTTAAGAACATGACTCAAGTTTGCGGTTACCAAAACGGGC